CTAATTAGACAAGAATTATTAATATAAAAAATATTTACTATTTGATATAAAAAACAAAATAATTTCTCTAAAACTGTACCATAAATTACCAATTATTATGAGTTTTTTAATAGAAGAAAATATAATTAGACAAAAATATATTTAAATAAAATAAAATAGTTTATATAAAACTCAACCACAAATTACCTATTTTGTTTTCAATAAACTCTATCACATTAGATAAGGATATATTTTAAAAGTTTCTATAAAACTCTAACATAAATTACTTATTTATCTATTTATTATGAGTTTTTTAAGGTAAAAAATGTAATTAGACAAGAATTATTAATATAAAAAATATTTAACTACCGTTTATTATGATATTTTTAATAAAAGAAAATCTAATTAGATAAGAATATATTTAAAGAAAATAAAATAATTTCTTTAAAACTCTACCATAAATTACCTATTTTATTTTCAATAAAACTTTATCACATTATATAATGATATATTTAAAGAATTTCTATAAAACTCTAACACAAATTACCTATTTATCTATTTATTATGAGTTTTTTAAGAAAAAAAATTGTAATTAGAGAAAAATTATTAATATAAAAAAAATTATTAATTGATATAAAAAGAATTTTTTAAAGAGTTTCAATCAAACTTTAACACAAATTGCCTATTTATCTATTTATTATGAGTTTTTTAATAATGAAAAATCTAATTAGACAAGAATTATTAATATAAAAAATATTTATTATTTGATATAACAAACAAAATAATTTCTTTAAAACTCTATCACAAATTACCAATTATTATGAGTTTTTTAATAGAAGAAAATCTAATTAGACAAGGATATATTTAAATAAAATAAAATAGTTTATATAAAACTTAACCACAAATTACTTATTTTATTTTCAATAAAACTCTATCACATTAGAATATGATATATTTTAAGAGTTTCTATAAAACTCTAATACAAATTCCCTATTTATTTATTTATTATGAGTTTTTTAAGGAAGAAAATGTAATTAGACAAGAATTATTAATATAAAAAAATATATATTAATTGATATAAAAATTATTTTTAAAAGAGTTTCTATAAAGCTCTAAAACAAATTACCTTTTTATCTGTTTATTATGAGTTTTTAATAAAAGGAAATCAAATTAGATAAGAATTATTAATATAAAAATATTTATTAAATGATATAAAAAATTAAATTATTTTTCTAAAACTCTACCGCAAATTACCTTTTATTATAAGTTTTTTAATAAAAGAAAATCTAATTAGACATGAATTATTAATATAAAAAATATTTATTAATTGATTTAAAAAGAGTTTTTAAAAGAGCTTTTACAAAACTCTAACACGTATAACCTATTTATCTATTTCTTATGAGTTTTTTTTAATAAAAGGAAATCAAATTAGACAAGAATATATTTAAAGAAAATAAAACAATTTCTATAAATTTAACACAAATTAGCTATTTTATTCTCTATAAAACTATATCACATTAATTAATTTATTTATTATGTATTTTTTAATAAAATAAAATCTAATTAGGCAATAATATAAAATCAATCACCATAAAATATTTATTAATTGATATAAAAAGAATAGTTATTTTTTATGGATAATTATCACAATATAACCGGCACGGCCCATTCAGTATTTTAGTATTTATTTATTTATATAAAAAAATATTTATTAATTGATATAAAAATAGTTTTTATAAAATATTAAAAATTATCTAATAAAAACAATCACAATAAAATATTTATTAATTGATATAAAAAGAATAGTTATTTTTTTGTGGATAATTATTACAATATAACCGACCCGGCCCAGTTATGATTATATCATTATCATGAGAGGACACATGTTATCATACTATTAATCGAAAAAGTTTTGCCAAAGAGTTTTTAGTATTTATTTATTTATATAAAAATATATTTATTAATTGATATAAAAAAAAGTTTTTATCTATACTATTATTAAATGTGTGCAAAAAATTTCAGTGTTTGAGTATTTATTTATTTATATAAAAAATATTTATTAATCAATATGAAAAGAGTTTATATATATATATATATAAACTCTATAAAATTCTAAAATCTACCTAATAAAATTCAAATTAACCTATTTATCTATTTATTATTATGAAAATTTTAAAGAATTATTAATATAAAAAATATTTATTAATTAATATAAAAAATTAAATAATTTTTCTAAAACTCTACCACAAATTACCTTTAATTATGGCTTTTTAAATAAATAAAAAAATCTAATTAGACAATAATTATTAATATAAAAAATACTCTATAAAACTCTATAACAAATTAGCTATTTTATTTTCTTTTAGTATTTCAGTATTTATTTATTAATATAAAAAATATGTATTAATTGATATAAAATGAATTAAAATAAAAAAGTTTCAAATCATTATTAAAACAACTAAAAATAGGTAAAATAAATAATTATTTAATAAAATAATTTACCAAATAATAAAATAAGTTACAAAACTTTGATGATGTATATCGCACGTGCCTTTTCTTAATATATATATATACACACACACATGATAGTTATATCTAACCACATAGTCCTTGTTATACAAGGTATCATTAAGTCTTAATACTCTTCTTATTCCTTAACTGTCCTCAATTGCTACCCAATCTTAAACTGCAGCATATTTATTTCATATGGAACAGACTTTCAAAAGAAGAAAAAATTGATAACAAGTCATTCACTCGCCACGTATAAAACAAAATATGCGTGAATGAATTCAAATACATTAAAGATTATATAAACATGTCAAAGACTAACAAAGGCTTTAGATTTTTGGAAATTTTTTATATTTTTATATAATTTCATTTTTAAGTCCATTAACATAATCTTATCAAAATTCACTTTGATTAAAACACTTATATATTTATATCATAGTGTCATACCACAATATATATAATATAAAAAGTAATAGATTAGTAAAATATATCAAATCAATAAGAGAACAGTAAAGAAACTTTTGGCCTATGTAATGGGAAGGCAGGCACGCAGTATGCACTATCCTAATGTCTTTACAGCCTCCCTACGTGCAGGTTGTGACAATTATGAAAGGTTCCAATATACAACTCCATCTTCAATGCGCACGTTCCCAAAGAGATGAATCACCAAGTCTTTGTGTCATGTTGCCCATAAACTCAGATATATATATATATATATATATATATATATATATAATATTTAGGTTGAATGAATAGAGGTTTTAAACAGAAAGAAATATGAAGGAGGAAAGTAAAAAGCGTATATAATCTATTATAATAGCCATATATTTATAAGCTATTTTCACACCCTTAGCCAATAGACACAACTAGTTATAAGGCTCACACCTTTTCAAAAATAAGAAGTTTTAAAAATTTTTATATTTTATTCAAAAAAAACCTAACATATCATCCATAACTCATGGAGTATTTCATCACATAAGTAAAAATATCACTATTTTAGTAAATCTTACCACTATGGTTGTTTTCATTCAAAAGAGATCTGAAATATTACATAATTCAAGAGCACGTGCTTGTGTTAAAATTTAGGGACCAGTTTACTTGATCAGAATTGGGTTTTCATTAATCACATGATCAACCATGGATCCTAACTCGATTCTCCACATATATCTCAGTCTTGGACTTCAATTTTCAATTCTATAGTCAAACTTTGATTTTTATCTTTGTCCAACTTTTGTATTCTCATTGTGAAGCTTTTATGCTATTTGTCATACTACTTTTGGTTGTCAAAATGAATATTTAGAACAAGTAGCTACTAGCTAGTGTAATTAAGGCAAATGAGTGATTTGCCTACCTACCCTGAAATCAACTATTTGAGGGTGAAGAAAATGGCTTCAACAAAGCTGAAATCAACTAATGCTTGTTCAGTTGTTCTCATTAATTGAAAGTTGAAGAACCACATGCTAGTTTCTTTCTTTCTACAAATTGTATCATGTAGCCCTTTATTTGCAATAGTTTTTGTATTACTTCATTTATGATTTTAGTTGTCTCTTAGGTTCTGATTTTAGTAAGGTTTCCTTCTGTTGATTTTGTGGTCTGTTTGCCCTTTTGTCTCAGGTTGGCTAGCCCTTTTTCTTGGAGCCTATGCTGGGAAGCATGATACTTCTACGAGAATGACATACTTTTATCGAATACGTACGTCAGATATTGGTATTTTTTAAGTATTTTCGTATACATGTCCGTTACTTATTAAATGTATCTATAATTTTAAAATATATATATATATATATATATATATATATATATATATATATATTATTTTAAACTCGTATATGATATTTCTCAAATACTTCATAACATATTTTTAACAAGTTTTAAACATTAAAATGTAACTTTTTCAACATAGTATAATTATTAAGAAAAATTCAAAATTTATTAAGTAATATCTATGTATATTTGTTTTATATGCTGTGAAATGAACTCCTATATTATACTAATGATTGTATTTAGATTCATAATGAAACTAATAAAAAATGTATTTTTAATTTATATTTTTAACCTATCCCACCGTACCCATATCCAATTTTAGATTTGTCGTATCGCCGTATCCATATTGTATTGTTTGTACGCCGTTTTCGTATTAGTGCTTCTTAGAGCCCATTATGCCCTATGTTAAGTTTTCTGTTTTATACAACATTTACTTACTGAAAAAAAAAGAATAAAAAATAAAATAAAAAAATCTACTTAACTACTTGCTCAAGTATGTTGAGCTTTGGACATTGCTCAATAACCTAGTTTGTAAACCGCCTAGCTTTCGGAACGGTTGTACCCTAGTTCATTCCCATAGTTTGTCCGATAAATATATGTATGTGTTGAGTTGCGTGTCAGCATGGAAAGATTTTTGCTGCCGGCATGGAAAGATTTTTGCTGCCGGCATCTCGAAATTAGAATCGGAGTAAATTAAATTTAAACTTCGAATTAAATTTTCTTCAATTTCAAATTCAAAGACCTGATTTTTTACTTCCAAACATGCTGAATATGAAGAGCTAAATTGGAATTTATCGAAATACACAAAAATCTTGTTCATTTGCATGGGCAAGTGAGAAATTCCAATCAGCTTAGGTTGAAAATCATGAAGATGGATGAATTAAGCTCACAAAACATGATAGTTATTGTCAAGGTTTCAAATGAATTTTCATTCTGAATCAATCAATGTCACTTAAATGTGAAAAAACAAAAAACAAAAATGAAAAATAAAATAAAACAATCTCAACCAAGGAAGAAGACCAATCCAATGCACTCACACTCACAGACCCGATTTGTAGCTAACCCCAGCCGCTGAAATCCATTTGTCACCCTTGATAAACGACTTCACTGCAAATTTAATAGCCTGTTTCTTGTCAATGTTTCTCAAACCCTTCCAATTAACCCTATTCTTGGTGGAAGAACCAGCCCCATAATTCTGAAATTCAGCATAAAATATGGTGTCGGGAGCTGTATCGCCGACCCAAGGCAACCACCCTTTCGGATCAATCAAGCTCCCCATCGAGGACTGCATGTACACAGTGGTGGAATAATTCTTCCAAGGCCGGCCGAGGAAGGTCTGGACCGAAGTCAGGTTCCCTCCGGCCCAAATGTTACAATTCTGTATCGAAATGCCGGTGTTCTGATTCGGGTCCACCTTGCCTTGGGCTGTAATGGTGTTCTGCTGGCCGGGCATGGGTTGCTTGGGTAGGATGGTGCAGTTTTGGAGGACCACGGCCGAGTTTCCGAAGATGAAGTCAACGGTCCCGTAGATGTTGCATTCGCGGTAGAATTGGCGGTTGGAATGCGTGTAGAGAGTGTCCTGGAAAGCATCAATGTGGCACCGGTAGAACACCGACTGGTCGGAAGTTGACATCAGTGCGACTGCCTGGTGCTTGATTGCTCCGGCCGTGTTTCGGAATCCCATGTCTCTAGCAATGAATCCTTGTCCAAACACGGCTGCATAAAAAAAATAAAAATAAAAATTAAAAAGTGGTTGAATAACTAGATGATTCAGGTTTCTTTGATTTTTTTTTTTATTTTTTTAGATTATTGTGAGGTATCCTGGGTTTCACCCCCACTAATCTCCACGAAATCAGAAAGGGCGCTTCCCCATTTCAGGTGGGTAAGTCGCACAATATGAACGCACATGCATAGCCCAAGGAAATTGTTTGCACCAGATTTCTTTGATTTTGATAGCTGTTTTAGAAATACTTTTCAAAAACCTAAAAAACTATTTTCAAAAAATTATAAGGTTATTATTCAGTTCTCAAAAACTCAGAAAATATAAAACTGTTTTTAAATAATTATAAATGAAAGTAATCTTTAAAACAAAACCATATAGTCATAATAAAGTTTTTCAACTTTTAATTTTCATAGAACAGAAAACTATTATCAAAAAATTGAATCAAGCATGCTTGCGTTCTACGAAAACGAACCTTTCTTTTATTGAGTTACTAAAAATTTAAACCAAACAAATTATTGTGAAGTATTCTAATTATTTTTAATTATGTTCTCTGAAAGTATAGTGCCATTCATGTTTAGCTTCTTAATGAAAGCATTTTATGCAATAGGTGAGCTAAATAGAACGAAAAGGGAAAACAAGAGTGTTACCAAAAGTTGCAGATTGAAATGTGGGAGTTCCATCCACAAAGTTGAGGCTGCCGGAAACAATGGTTGCATGCATTCCATCACCGATCATCATCACATTCCATTTAGTCTTCTCAACCCTAACATTTTCGTAATAAAGTCCCTTCTTCACATAGATCACAAACCTCTTCTTGCTCTTCTCCGGGACAACCTTGAGGGCATCACCTATTGTCTTGTACTTCCCGGAGCCATCTTTCGCGACAACAACGTCTGCTCTGATCATTTTCGAATTATTACTACTCTGTAGTAGCTTCCGATCTTTCGCAGACAACCAGTGTGGCATGCGATCATCGTCGTCGTAGTGGCCGGGCAAACTCAACAACCGCCTTTGCTTCAATGTATCATCACTTGCAAAGTACTTGAATACCTGGCTTATGATGGCAAGACAATTGCTAGTGAACTCCGTAGAGTTTTTTAGGTACCCATAAACACCACTCTTCATATTTCCCGCCACATCCTCAAAACCATCTATGCATGTTTGCTGATACGTTCCCGCAGCACTCAGCCATGTTCTGAGATCATCAATGGCGTCAACTACTGAGATGGCGGACGACGGAGAAGTATTACTACTACAATTGAGATGATCCAAAGCAAGTCCCAGAAGTTCGCGGCAACTCTCAAGAGCAGCAATGGCCGTTTTATTAGTGACACCGTCGAACAGCCCTCCGCGCTCGGGGGAGGTGAAGTACCGGGAGGCTCTGGACAGTTCATTCATCGCCACGCGAATGGATAGACCGAAGAGCTGGTCGGGTTGAATCTCCTGGCTGGAGTTGGTGAACGGAGCAATGCTGGTGTAACATGATTCCGGATACAATGTCACACCACATGCAGCTTTAACTGAAGTGGTGATACCTGCGGATTGAGTTCCACTATCACCACCGCTGCCGTTTTTCGAATTTCCCGCGTTAGTACCAACAACGGCGCCTACTATAACCACGATGAGGACAATGGAAGATAAGCTTATGACGGTGATTCTCCTTCTGGTCCTCCGACGAGCTTCGAGTCCGAGCCTCTCTGCTTGATCGGTGGCTTCATTGACTTTCCCATAGGCTCTAAGAGAAGCCATGAATGATGGTATTCTGAGCTTGATTGTTTGAAGTTAAGAGGGGTCTCTTTGTTTATATATAGACTATAACGTGAGCTTACATGCAAGGCACTACCCACAGGTGAGAATACAGTGTCAACGTGCAACTTAGGAGAGTGCTATGCATGTTGGATTTTATAAAGCCAAGTGGTTACTATAAAATAGTACTAAATCTATCATCAAATTAAAATAAAATAAAATAAACCCAAGTACTAAAATGGTATTAAGAGATGTTGACAAAAAGTATTGTATTGGAAGGCTGAAGGTAGGTAGGTAGTGTTAGGTGGAGTTTCTTATTTAATATTCATAAAAATATTTTATTCTTAATTTTAAGGGCTAAATATTGACTATTTTAGTTGGAATGAATTCATAAGAGAGAATATACTCGGCGGATATATTTTTCTTTTGCACTGACAAGAATTATATTTGGTAATCACATTTCAGAACTTCCAAATGACGTGTTGATCTTTACTCATAATAATGTACATATATAAAGTAAGGAATAATTATACCTACATCAAAGAAACAAATCCCATAGCGTAGCTGAAAGGTTTGGCAATCCGTGGATGAAACCGGGGATCAGCCATTAGGTGAATGGTATAATCTTTATACATTCAATTTGTGAGATGTGCATGTAAAGTCGTGTGAAAATATTGCTAGGGTGATAAAGGTATCCACTTTATATGATACTAAGTTTGAATCTCGTTCCCTGATTATTTTTCTATAAAAATAAAAATAATAATAAAATAATAAAATTTTAAATTAAATGTGTGGGACCCATGCCAAGAAAGCATGAGTTCCACCCAAAGCTAATTTCCTTCCTAAAATTATACTAACCAAATATCTAAATAAAATTTTCTTTTGGATCATCAATCATATTTTCCCACCATCACGTTCAGCGGCTAATTAGAGGTATTTGTAAAAAATTTCCATGGAACCACACTTGGTGAATTTTTTTGGTCATTGTTCAATGCACATGGGGATTACACGAGCTCATTTGTGAATTATGTAGTATTTTACCATCAAGACACACACACACACAAGACACGTATAATTATGTTGAGCATCGAAGTAATTGTGTTGAACAATCCCTCGCCCTCCAAATGCTCTATCTTTTTTCTTTTTTGTTTTTACCCTAGCAAACATTGAACAATAAAAACATAAAAACAATACATGAGTAGGCCCTTGCTAAGGCAAGGCGGTGTACCAGACCACATTTTTTATCCAAAAATACAAGCACCATGAGCAAACGCTCCACATTACTAGAAGCCCATAACGGTTAACCCTAAGGATGAAGATTCTAAACGGATCCACATTAAAATGATGCATAAGACCAACCATTAGGCTCAGGTAAATAGAAGCAATAACAAAGTGGCCCGAAACAGACATATAGCCCAATTGAGGAACATATCATTAACAAGGTTTTGACCTAAGGCCCAGCTAAGCAAACCCATGTGAGATAGGGCCCTATCACAAGAACCAGAAACTTTCCCCGGTCTCACCTCTGCACACCCAGCTTGCTCTATACGCCAAAGGACCAACGTCAACATGACGTCATATGATGCTACCATCACCGAGAAACGCCATAACCAAGGGACACCGTGAGGTTGATACTCCGTCTCCGACGACCAAGACGGTAACAGGTGGTATATGTTCAACAAAGGGACTTGACGATTAAAGTCATAGCCATAAGAAAGCCATTGATGATCATGTGATACCATGAAGGAGTGATTCCAATTGCTACCAATAACAAAAGCTCCATGGTCATGAAAAAACATAACAGAGGCCGGTAAACTCCGGATCTGATGAAATAAATATCGCCCTCGCAAGCTTGATGAAATTCGTCGTCCAGGTGTGCCAAAAAGGCTTTGATAATTAGAGGGGAAACATCGACGATACTAAGACGGAAAAGGCTAAAACAGCCTTTGCAATCCTTCAACAACAGAATTAACGACCTCCCCATAAAAACATCGCCGAGTATGGCGACAATCGAAAAGCCCAGTCACCCAAAATAGGCCTTCCCACCCATGGAAAAAGGAAAAGAAAGGCTAGCATACTATCCTGAAAACAACAAAAATTAGGAAACAAATTACGGTGGACAGTAAAACAAAAGAAAGAGACGTAATACCCGAATCAAAAGGGAAGAGTAACAAAGATTTGGTCCCAATCCATCCATTGCGCGAAATCCCTAATTTGAAGCCCTACAATGTACTCCCTTGAACCCTTCCGGCCGGATAAATAAGAGAAGCGACGGAGAGGATAATAGACAGAATCTATCCCAAAGACAGCACCACAAACTGGGATCAGCCCCAAACTCTGATGAATAAAGAACCCTAACATAATAAGGAACAGTGACTTTGATGAACAGATAAGAGAGAGAGACAAAAGAGAGAGAGCGAGTCAGTTGAGTTGGTTTATTCACATATATCTCCTGATGCTCTATCTCATGGTCTTTACAGGTGATCGATGAAGCCCTCCCCCTCTGTGGTTTGTCAGATATAATTAGGGTCATAGTTTGGGTAAAGTGCAAAAAAACTTGCTATATGTACGAACACTAGACATATATTTGCACATTCGGTATATATAGTAGGGTTTTTTTGCACTCTGCCTTTTTTTTTTTTTTTTTTTTTTTTTTAAGGTAAAACAATCACTCACACACTGCCTCCTTTGAGGCTTGAGTTTATGACCTCCCTTAAGGAAGTATGGGTCTGGTGCAATTGGGCCACCAGATTTGGTCGCTTTACCTTTTTACCTTTGTTGCTACAGTGGATTTTGTTGCACTTGGGCTTTTTGGTGTTAGTTAATTTTGGGCCTATCATTGAGTTGGTTTGTTTGTCTTTCCGTGTTACTTAGTCCTCTGAGCTAACTTTCTATGGGGTTGCTCAGACTTATATTTTTAAATACACATTTATTCTGTTTCAAAAAAAAAAAAAAATTCTTATTCCCAAATTTGTTTGTATTTTTATTTTTTAGAAAGATTAAAATCTGTGAGTCAAGTTCCTAAAAAGAGACGAATAGAGTATATTTTTTATACAGTTGCTTAATCTTTCTAGAAAATAAAAAATAAAAATGTGTGTTAAATCACGATTTATTGCGTTGAAATGTACACGGTTACTTTTACACATTTGCCATGATAAATTGGTTAAATTGGGGTCATACAACATTTATTTTTTATTATTCTCAAATGAGAAGATTATTTTCTTTACCAAACATATAACAGATTTGGTTAAAATCTTATAATAAGAATAAGAGATCTTTCTTGATCAATTATTCTCTTAGAAAGATTCTTTTTGAAGTTTGAATTTGTTCATTGTGCAACCTATCATTTTCAATTAGTAATACAATGGCTCGTGAATCATGAGAAAAAGTTCATTTCTCGAAAATAAATATAGGAAAGAAAGGATTACGTCACAAAAAAGTTGTACAGAAGAGGATGCATTATATATACCATCAAAATATCGCCCGCAACCATTTAGAATATCCTATGGATGCCAACTTGGCACTATTGCATAGGAAATCTGAAACGGATGATAGCAGGTCCATCTTCAAGTTATCAATAACATTAATTTTGTCACATTTTCTTAGTACTCCATTTGGTTACATGAAAATAGTAAGAAAAGAAAAGAAATAAAAAATAAAGGGTAAAATACAGCAACACTTCCTAAGGTTTGCCAAAAAGACAGCCAGATACAACTTACCTTATTTTGGGACGATCGATGAAACCCCTGATGAAATTTATAAGCCAAACAAAGCCTTAAAACATGTGAAAAGTCAACATTACCCTTCACTATTTTATTAATTTTAATTATACTATATCAAAATAATTAAATGACCAAATTACCCTCAGCACCCAATCAATCCTACAACTAGATTCTGGTGCCGCTACCACACCAAACTCTACAACCACCAACACATAATCGCCCCCACAAGTATCACCATCCCCACCCCCAAACCACTGCCAGCATCTCCACCCCAACAACCACCCCTGTGTATTCCGGCATGATCTAGCACTGATACCACCACCATCCCCATCTTGTAATACCCCTAATTTCAAAAGGATAGTCTCGGTATTATTTTAAATATTTTAATTTTAATTTTATTTATTTACTTGATTGTTTGGTTATTTGGTTAAATGATTAATTGAAATTATGTGCTTAAATGTTTTATTTGACTTAAATGATTAATTGAAGTTATGTGCTTAAATGTTTTATTTGAATTAAATGATTGATTGACGTGTTTGTTTAATTATAATTAATTACAGATTAAATGTTTATGTTATTATATTTTATTTTATTTTATGGATATGGATAGTAGTAATGGACCAACCAATTTGGTCCTATGGATTACTTGGAAATGAGGTTTAATGGGTACGGATAATTACCCATGGATAATTGTATATGTATATATATAGATATATATAAGGAAGGTAATTTATTAATTAATACTATTATAACATTAGTATTAACAATAAATAATCTGATGTATATTTATATATTTGTATAATAAGGATATACATAGATTATAGAGAAAAGTGCAAAAAATCCCCCTGGACTATTGGGAAACTTGCAACTAACCTCATAAACTATCAAAATTGCATAAAATCCCTTGAACTATACAAATTTATTGTATATCACTCCATCCGGCTACCAGTTGTCCAGAAATGAGTGCGTGATTCCCACAGGACAAACAAACTAACTTTTTTGGACAATAATGCCCTTTAATGTATGAAAATACCAAATTGTCCACTGCCAAACACACCATAATTCCACTACTAACAGCTTGGGCCAAACACGCCCTTATAAGAAATTTTAGCGCCAAACACGCCCTTACACATACGCCGCTTTCATGTTCATTACTCCATCCCCAACGGTGACCACCTTCATCGTCCGTTCATAGCCACCATCGCCGCCACCACAGATTCTTCTTCCCCTGAAACAAAAATATGTTTTGGTTGCAAAGATCTAGAATTGGAAGGGGAATTG